CTGTATCTCCTCCATCCCCTCCCAGATCAGCTTTTCCCACCCTCCTGGATGGTCCCACCTCCGTGTTCCCCAGATGGATGTCACCTGTGCTGAGCCCCAGACTCCCCCTTCTCACACTGCCAGTGCCTGGGGCAGGGCTGGCACTGCCCTGGACGGGTCACTGTTCGGAGCCCCCAGATTCACACCAGGGAGGAAGTGGCTGCTGCCATGTGTAGCCGGGACCCTGGTGGTTTAAAGACACATAGCGGCTCCCTCCTGAAGCAGTGCTGAGCCCCCGAGTACCGTTCGGAGTCCACGGTGGGTGTCAGGACGACGGGTCTGTGTGCCATGAGGAGTATGTGCTGGGATAACACTGGGCGTGAGGTGTCCGAAACGCCTGCTTCTAGAACATGACGATGAAGTGTTAACTCTTGTTTTTCTTTTTGAACTCCTTTCTTTTTTTAGAACTCGATTTTTTTTTTAATTATTGATTTTAAAAAGAAAGCCCATGATAAGAGTTAGGGGCAGAATTTCCTTTGTTCTTGATGTGTGGGAAGTGATGAGCTTTTCTTGCTGGTAAGGAAGGAAAGACAGGCTTTTCTCAAACGAGAGAGTTGCACGTGGGAAGTTCATCCCTTGCGTTTGTACAGCACTCCTAACCCTTACCGGAGGCTTTGATTAATTTATTTTTTGTTGTTGTTGTTAATCCTCTGAGGGTATTTTCCCATTGATTTTTAGAGAGTGGAAGGGAGGGAGGGAGAAGGAGAGAGAGAAAGAGAGAGAAGCATTGATGTGATGTGAGAGAGACACATAGATTGGTTGTCTGCCTCACACGCCCCAACCAGGGCTGGGGATTAAACCTATAACCCAGGTACGTGCCCTTCACTGGGAATCGAACCTGAGACCTTTCAGTGTGCGGGCCAACACTCTAACCATTGGGAACACTGCCCAGGGCTGATTCATTTATCTTTACCTTTATCCTCTTGCCCACTTGGACCCAAAGGAAAGGAAGTTAATTTGCTCATGTCACAGGTTGGTCACAGTTGGGCTAGAAATGGGGTCTCCGGATTCCTTCTCCGCTGCTTCTCTCAGAGGGAAGCCCCGGGGCCGGCCTGTCGGGAGGGACGTTGCTATTCCCTGCACATGCCCCACGGGCCACATTTGCAACTGTCCACAGGGACTGTGGGGAACCCAGAGGGTGGTTTACTCATTCGTGTATGTTTATAATATATTCATGTAGATATAACTATGATATAAACATAATACACATTTGTATTCATTGGTATTTGCAGAAATCGTGGGCACATTTGTCTGTTTTCCAGAAAGTGTTCTGATTGGGCGTCTGGACTTTTTTCTTTTTGCTGCGGGGGTTCCGGGTAGCTGTCTCCTGCAGCAGTTCTCAACCTGTGGGTCTCGAACAATGAAAAGACATCCTGCATATCAGATATTTACATTATGATTCATAACAGTAGCAAAATTACAGTTATGAAGTAGCAACGAAAATAATTTTATGGTTGGGGGTCACCACAACATGAGGAACTGTATTAAAGGGTCGCGGCATTAGGAAGGTTGAGAACCGCTGAGGAACCCAAGGGGACACAAACATTCCTGTTAGAGGAAGGGTGTCCCCGGCTAGCACCTCCCCTGTGCACCCTGCAGAGCTCTGGTTCTCGGGGCTGCTCAGAGAGGCTCCTTGGAAAAACGGTTCTGTGGCAAGTAAGGTTGAGACGTGGAAAGTCAAACAGATGTTTCCCTATCTGCTGCGTGGCTTTTACATTTTGCTCCTGTGCGCTGTGATCCTCCCAGAAGCATATAATGTTTTTTCAAAACTTATTTGCCAGCTGAGCCCAAGTCCCCAGGGAGCAAATCTGGAGGACTGGTGTTCCTCGGGAACCCACTTTGGGGAACTCTGGCCTGGCTTCCACTGATTTTTTTCAGATAAGGGGTTTACTTCAAGGTGAGGGAGAGGAGCACCCTTCCCAGACGGCTTCTCCTGTAGTGGGGGCTGAGGGCGGTTTCCGAATCGTGGGGCCCCCTTGGGGTCCTCTCAGTGGGAGGCCCTAGTGGAGCCTGCTGACTTCCTTCTCGTGTGTGACTCCAGGACCGGGCACATGCTCACCCACCAGAAGACCAAGCCCTTCGTGTGCATCGAGCAGGGCTGCAGCAAGAGCTACTGCGACTACCGCTCGCTGCGCCGGCACTACGAGGTGCAGCACGGCCTGTGCATCCTGAAGGAAGCGCCCGCGGAGGAGGAGGCCTGCGGGGACTCCCCCCACGCCCAGGAGGTGGCCGGCCCGCCCGCTCCCAGTGGCCTGCGGTCCCTGATGCCCCCAGAGGCCAGGTCCCCTGGCTCCCTCTTGCCCAACCGGGACCTCCTGCGCTGTATCGTGAGCAGCATCGTCCACCAGAAGATCCCTTCTCCCTGCCCGGCCCCAGCAGGGCCTTCAGACAGCAGCGAAGGGAGGAACACGGCCTGTCCCTGCCCACCCTCATCCGGGTCCTCCTCCTGCACCCCAGCGAGCACCCCAGCAGCCCCAGGAGCCCTGGGCCCTGAGGTTCCCGAGGAGCCGCGTCCCCCGCAGAAGGAGCCTGTCGCTGACATGTTCACAGCCGTCCACTCAAGGGCAGCAGAGAATGGTGGCCCCGACCCATCCGAGCCAGAGCCTTGGCTGCTCCAGCTCCCGTCTGCCCTGGAGGGCTGGCCTGAGGGCGGCCCCCTGCCTGCCTGCCTGCCTCTGTTCCGAGGCCAGACGGGCCCCTCCAGTTCCCAGCCATCCAGCCACAACTTCCAGTGGCTCCGGAACCGGAACCTGCCCGGCTGCCCCAAGAGCAAAGGGAACAATGTGTTTGTGGTCCACAAGGCCCCGGCGGTGCAGTCCCCGGAGGGCCCGGAATCCGGCCCCGGGCCCAACAGCGCCTCCCCCAGCAGGGAGCCCTCCCCCAGCTCGGGCCTCAGTCTGGAGGACGTGCTGCCCTTCGCGCCCTCGCTCCTGAAGGCACCTGGGGAGGCCTCGGGTGACCCCAGACATGCCAGCGGGGAAGATGACAACTGGGCCTCCAGAAAGAGCCAGTGTGACTGCGACACGTTCCCGTGGCAGAACCCCAGGGAGCCCGGCCTGCAGGACGTCCAGAAACCGGGTGGGCTCCCGTCAGACACCACCCCGCTCTTCCGGCAGCTCTTCCTGAAGTCGCAGGAGTCTCTGGTGAGCCACGAGCAGATGCAGGTGTTCCAGATGATCACCAAGTCCCAGCGGCTCTTCTCCCACGCCCAGGTGGCAGCCGCGTCCTCCCAGCTGCCGGGCCCCGAGGGCAAGCAGGCCGCCCTGAAGTCGGGGCCGTGGTCGCAGCAGCCCCTGCCACTGACGCCCAGTGCTGACTCTCTCCATGCTGGCCCTGGGAACCCGGAGCCTGAGGGATCCCCAGTCCACAGGAGAAAAACCGCAGCTGCTCTCCCCAGAGCAGCCTCTCCTGGCAGCACGAAATGGGACTCGAAGGGAGGACCAAAGGTGGCCACCGCCCCGCCGTCCCTCACAGCATCGTCTCTGGACCCTCCTGACAACCCAGACATCTCCTCTCTGGCCAAGCAGTTGAGATCTGCAAAAGGGACTCTGGACCTGGGGGACATGTTCTCCCCCGGTGGCCCACAGCAGAGCCAGGCAGGGGGGGACCAGCCGCCTGGAGCCCCGGGCCCCGGGAAGCAGACCCAGGCTGAGAACGGCGCGGCATCAGGAGCCACGAAAGGTGAAAAGGGCTCGGCCTGCACCCGGGGCGGAGGCTACAGGCTCTTCTCCGGTAACCCCAGGGCCCAGCGCTTCTCAGGCTTCCGGAAGGAGAAGGTGAAAATGGACATGTGCTGTGCCGCTTCTCCCAGCCAGGTGGCCATGGCCTCCTTCTCCTCGGCTGGGCCTCCGGCGGACGCCCCCCGGGACTCCAAGTCCAAGCTGACCATATTCAACAGAATCCAGGTACCACAGGGGTTGGTATAACCGCAGGGCTGAGCGTCCATCGCCACTCTGCCAGAACATTTCAGCCCAGAGAAACCCCCACTTAGTTGTCACCCCCAATCTCTCCATCCCTCCCAGCCCCCGGCAGCCAGGAATCTACCTTCTCTCTCTCTGGATTTGCCTGCTCTGGACATTTCATGTCATTGGAATCATACACCACATGGCCCTTTGTGACCGCTTCTTTCACTCAGCGTAGTGTTCCAAGTTCGTCCGTGCTGTAGCACGTGTCAGTGCTTCATTTTCAGGGCTGAGTAATATTCCTTCGTACGGGCACCTCACATTTTGTTCATCCGTTCATCAGTTGACCCTTCTTGGTCATTGTGAATAGTGCTGCTGTGGACATGGGTGTCCATGTTTTGTGCAGGCATATGTTTTCATTTCACTTGGGAAATACCGAGGAGTGCAATTGCTGGGTCAGATGGTAACTCTATGTTTGACCATGTGAGGAACTGCCCGACAGTTTTCCAAAGCAGTTGCATCAGTTTACATTCCCACCCACAAGCCATCGAGGGCTCCAATTTCTCCAGGTCCCCTCTAGCTCGTTGTTGTCCTGTTATCATAGCCTTCCTCGTGGCTGTGCAGAGCTCTCCTTAAGGTTTCATTTGCATTGCTCTGATGCCTAACGATGTTGAGCATCTCTCTACCCTTTGTGCTTATTGGCATTCGCAGGTCTCTTTTGGTTCAGTGTTTATTCAGATTCTTTGTCCATTTTTATTTTTTTTATTGATTTTTAAAGGAAGCGGGGGGAGAGAGAGAGAAACATTGATGTGAGTGAGAAACATTGATTGATTGTCTCCCGTATGCTCCCTGACCACGGATTGAACTCGAAACCTAGGTGTGTTCCCTGATCAGGAATCGAACCTGCGACCTTTTGGTGTACACTGCTCCAGCCAACTGAGCCACTCAGCCAGGTCTTTGACCATTTTTAAATTGGGCTATTTGACTTTTTATTATTGAGCTATAAAAGTTACGTATTATGAATGCAAGTCCTTATCAGACATATATGACTTTCAACAATTTTCTCCCATTTTGTGGGTTTTCTTTTCACTTTCTTTTCTTTCTTTCTTTTAAATATGTTTTTATTGATTCTTAGAGACAGAGAAAGGGAAGGGGACAGAGAGATAGAAACATTGATGAGAGGGAAAACATCAACATTGACTGGCTGCCTCCTGCACGCCCCCTGCTGGTGATCGAGCCTGCAACCCAGGCATGTGCCCTGACCGGGAATTGAACCAGTGACCTCTGGGTGCATGGGTTGACACTCAACCACTGAGCCACGATGGCTGGGCTCACTTTCTTTTTTTTATACACTTTTTAAAAAAATACGTTTTTATTGATTTTTTAGAGAGGAAGGGAGAGGGAGAGATATAGAGAGAGAAACATTGATCGATCGAGCCTGCAACCCAGGCATGTGCCCTGACCGGGAATTGAACCAGTGACCTCTGGGTGCATGGGTTGACACTCAACCACTGAGCCACGACGGCTGGGCTCACTTTCTTTTTTTTATACACTTTTTAAAAAAATACGTTTTTATTGATTTTTTAGAGAGGAAGGGCGAGGGAGAGATATAGAGAGAGAAACATTGATCAGCTGCCTCCTGACCAGGATCAAACCTGCAACCTGGGTATGTCCCCTGACCGGGAATCAAACCAGTGACCCTTCTATCAAACCAGTGACCCTTCCATTTATTTATGCGTTCATTGATTGTTTCTTGTATGTGCCCTGACAAGGGATCGAACCCAAAACCTTGGTGTATCAGGACACTGCTCTAACCAACTGAGCCAGCCCAGAGGGCTGTCTGTTCTGGCTTCTGTTTTGGTGTCATCCAAGAGACCATTGCCTAATTTAAAGTCGCAAAGAATTACACCTGTATTTTCTTCTAGGCATCTTAGAGTTTTAGCTCTTGCAAACCTCATTTCTGATATGTTGGCTCGGGTGTCTTTTTATCTTCAGGGTGGAAATATCTACCGGCTCCCCCATCTGATGAAGGAGGAGAACATGGCAGGTGGATGGTAAGTTGAGAAGTCCCTCCCCCACATCTGGGGGAGCTCAACCCCTTCTCTTCCATGTGCTGGCCCTGGGTAAGCGAGCTCTGGATGTGTCAGTCCGACGAGGTGTGCGCCAGGCCCTGAAGAATTGGGGTGTCGTCTCCACTTCTTAGGGTTCATCTAGAGTTGTCAGTGGACGAGACTTAAAAAAGAAAAGAAAACTGGAGCCAGTGATCAGGGACAGAGTCCCATTCTCGCGTTCTTCCCTCCTGCATGTCTCCCGCAGTAGCCAGCAAAACGGGGGCCCAGCAGACTGGGCAGAGCCAAGGAGCACGTACGTCTGCAAGAACTGCAGCCAGATGTTTTACACCGAGAAAGGGCTGAGCAGCCACATGTGCTTTCACAGCGACCAGTGGCCGTCACCTCGCGGGAAGCAGGAGCAGCAGGTGAAGGGCACACGCAGTAGAGTCTGTGCTTTCAGGGTTGCTGACAGGCTCGGGGGAGTAAAGGACTGGCGGCCATTTATCTCAGGATGGAGATGTCCTCCATCGTCTGGGGGAAGCCTGGGGAGGGGCCAGGAGTCGGAACTGCAGGCTGGAGCAGCTCTTCCGCTCCCCACTCGCTGTTTCTCCTGAAGAGCCGTCTCCTCTGCTCTAGGTGTTTGGCACCGAGTTCTGCAAGCCCACGAGACAGGTGCTGAGGCCAGAGGGGGACGGGCAGAGCCCCCCCGGAGCCAAGAAGTCCTTGGACAACACGGCCCCTTTGGAGCTCCCCATGTCGGTGCCTGCGGTGCCCACACACCGAGTCCTGGGGAGCACGGCCAAGGTGGGTGCTGGTCAGTCCATGTCCTTCCTGCTGCTCTCCCTCCCGACCTGCTGGCCCAAACGCCACAGGCAATCCTGACTCCAGAAGAGCTTGGTTTGCGTGTTCATTCACTCACTCATTCGGCATCTGCTGAGCCTCCTCTGTGCCGGGCCCTGTGCTGGTGACACTGTGGTGACCATGAAGGCCTCTGCCCTGCCTGCTGGGGCTCCCAGTTCAGTGCAGTAGATAGACCCACCCCCAGACAGTGATGACCCAGAGTGGGCAGGGCAGGCTGGGGGAGGGAGCTGTGGGAGCCCTGAGAGGGACCAGAGGGCCAGCCTGAGGAGGTCAGGGAGGACTTCCTGGAGGTGGGGGTGTGGGAGCTGAGACCTGGAGGATAAGAAGGAGTAAGACTGGCAGAGAGGAAGGGAGATTGTGTGGAGGTGAGAGGACATGGGAAGTTCAGGCCGTAGGGCTTTCAGCCTGTTACTAGAGGGTCCTGCCCGGAACAGCGCAAGCTGGACGTGGGGACAGGGAGCCTGGGTCCCATTGTTTGTCTCACAGGCGCTGTGATCGCTTGGAGGGGAATACATTTTCGTTTTGTCAGTCACTCTGTGACTCTGGCCCCCACTGTTTAAGTGCCAGGCATGTTAACCATTGAAACTGGCCTCCACGTTTCCAAATCCTCTGAGTCAGGGCCTCTCCTTGGAGTGCGGGTGCGTGAGAAGGCTCCAGCCTTGCACGTCACAGGCAGAGCCTCGGGTCTGGCTCTGGTGGGTGGCCCTGCCCAGCCTCCTTTGTTAAAGGCTCTCCGCATGGACAGCAGGGGGTGTGCCTGTCACATTTCCCTCTGTCCTCGGGGTCAGTGCCCTGAGGACTGAGCTGTGTGGCAGGAGCCTCAGTGACCCTTTGTGGGTCTGAACTGTCTTCTTCCCCAGGGGCAAGAGAAAGACATGGAAGAGAGAGACAGCAGGGAGAGCAGTCTGCACAGGAAGCGGAAGAAGCGCCCCCAGCCCAAGGCACTGTTCATCCCTCCGCCCCGCTCCACATTCAGGGAGCCAGGCCCAGGAAGATGCCACCAGAGCTGCCTGCGGTCTCCGGTGTTCCTGGTGGACCGCCTCCTGAAAGGGTTATTCCAGTGCCCTCCCTACACGCCACCCCCCATGCTCAGCCCCATCCGGGAGGGGTCTGGGCTGTATTTCAACACGCTCTGTTCCACGTCGGCTCAGGCCAGTCCCGACAAGCTCATCAGCACCACGCTGGGTGAGTGAGGCCGGGCTGGAGCTCCCGGTCATCACACGGCCGACCTCCTATGGACCAGACCCACTCTCCCTTTAGCGTTCGGCCCAGAGATTCCCCCGCCTGTGGCTGTGGGCGCCATTATAAGTATCGCAGGACCATCTGTGGCCAGCAGCCTTGTAGGTGCTTAGAGTTTTACAACCATAGAGCCATTTAGCCTTTTACCCTTCTGCCTACCCTCCACTTAACTTTTTAAACAGCTTTATTGAGATACTAGAGGCCCGATGCAGGAAATTCGTGCAAGAGTAGGCCTTCCTTCCCCCGGCTGCCGGCACCGGCTTCCCTCTGGCACCCAGGACCCAGGCTTCCGTCGTAGCCCCGGCTTCATCTGGAAGGACGTCTGGTCTAATTAGCATATTACGCTTTTATTATTATAGATAATTTACATGCCATATGAACCACCATTTAAAATGTACCGTGTTTTTTAGTATATTTACAGGGCTGTGCATTCATCACACAGTCAATTTGACAGCATTTTCATCACCCCCAGAAGAAGCACTGTCACCCCCATAGCCCCAGCGCCCCAATCTCCCCAGCCCCAGGAAACGACTGATCTACTTTCTCCATGGATTTGCCCATTCTGGACATTGTGTATAGGTGGAATCATACGTGACATTTTGTGTGTCGTTTATTCATTTAGCATGTTTTCAAGGTGCATCCATGTAGCGTGGATCAGTGTTTCGTTCTCTCTATGGCTGAATAATATCCTGTTGTCTGGATGGATCACATCTTATTTATCCATTCATCAGCTGTGAGCATTTAGGTTCCCTCGTTTGGGCTATTATAAGTAGTGCTGTTATGAACATTCATGTACAAGTTTTTGTGTGGATGTGTGTTCATTTCTCTTGTGTAGAAATCTAGGAATGGAGTTGCTGGGTCATATGGTAACTATGTTTAATCATTTAAGGAATTGCCAGACTGTTTCCAAAATGACCGGGCCATTTTAAGTTCCCACCAGCATTGTATGAAAGGTCCAATTCCTCCACAACCTGCCAGGACTTATGTCCATTGCTGTTTTTATAACCACATTAGGTGCAAAGTGTCATCTCTTTATGGTATTGATGGCTAATGATGTTGAGCATCATTTCATGTACTTATTGTCCATATGTATATCTTCTCAGGAGAAATGTCTATTCGTCCTTCACCCATTTAAATGTTGAGTTATTATCTTTTAATTATTGACTTTTGAGAGTTCAAGTCCCTTATCAGATATATGATTTTCCTACAGATATTCGATCTCATTTTGTGGGTTGTTTTTTCGTTTATTTATGGCAGTGTTTGCGGTACAAAGGTTCATTTTGATTGAGCCCAGTTCTTTCTTTCATCACCTGTGCTTTCAGGGTTGTATCTAAGATTTTGCCTGACCAAAGGTCACAAAGTTTTACGCCCATGTTTTTTCTAAGAGTTCTATAATTTGAATATAAAATTTCGTTCTTTGATCCAATTTACATTTAGTTCTTTGATCCATTTTAAGTTAACTTTTATATTCTACGTAAGGTTAGGATCCAAATTCATTCTTTTGCATGTGGGTTTACATTGTTCCAGCACCATTAGTTGAAAAGATCTTCCTTTTCCCATTGAATTGTGTTGCACCCTTGTTGAATGTCAATGAACCATGAATTATTTGACATTTGTTTTTCTTTTTAAACACATTTACATCTATAGATTTCCTTCTAAGCATTGCTTTAGCTACATTTTGTAAGTTTTAGTTTGTTGTATTCTTATTGCCATTCATCTCAAAGTATTTTCTAATTTCTCTTTTGATTTCTTCTTTGATACATTTATTATTATTAAGGAGTGTTGCTTAATTACTACAAATTGCCTTCTTTTAAAAAAATATCTTTTTATTGATTTCAGAGAGGAAGGGGAAGGGGAAGAGAGAGAGAGAAAGAGAGAGAGAGAGAGAGATCAATGATGAGAGAGAATCATTGATCAGTTGCCTCCTGCACACCCCCACTGGGGATTGAGCCCGCAACCTGGGCATGTGCCCTGTCTGGGAATCTAACCATTACCACCTGGTTCATATGCTGATGCTCAACCACTAAGCCACACTGGCTGGGCCAAATTGCCTTCTTTTATTGATTTTTTATTCTATTGTGGTCAGAGAACATATATGAATTCAGCCCTTCTAAATGTACTGAGGCATGTATTATGGGCTAGAATATGTTCTATGTGCATTTGGGAAGAATGTATGTTCTGATGTTTGGTAGAATTCTCTGTCATATCTAGTTAGTTTATAGTGTTGTTCCTCGTTGATCTTCTGCTTAGCTGTCCTATCGATTATTGAAAGTATTGAAATCTCCCACCATTATTTTTAAGTTGTATATTTCATCCTTCAGTTCTTTCAAGTTTTGCTTTCTGTATTTTTAGATTATGTTTTTAGGTGCATACATGTTTATAATAGTCATCATGTCTTCCTGATGGCTTGGCCGACCTTGTATCATTATGATATGATTGTGATATCAGTTATCATACATACTGTAATTGTATCACCTCTAGTAATATTTGTCTGACAGTATAGCCATTCCGTCTCTTTTATGGTGGTTGTTTGCTTGGCATGTATTTTTCTGTTCCTTTATTTTTAACCTATTTGTGTCTTTGAACATAAAGCATGCCTCCTGTAGGGAGCATTAGTCGGAGCATACGTTTCCTAAGCCAGTCTGACAAACTGCCTTTTGATTGGTTTGTTTAATCCATTCTCATTTAATGTTATACGAATGTGGTTGGATTTACATCTGCCATTTTTTTTCTTTTCTGTAAGTCTCATGTATTTTTCTCCTTTTGTTTTTCCTTTCCTGCTTTCTTTTGTATTAAGTGAATATTTTCTAGTGTTACTTTTTCTTTTCTTTTTTCTTTTTTATATATTTTATTTATTTTTTACAGAGAGGATGGGAGAGGGATCAAGAGTTAGAAACATCGATCAGCTGCCTCCTGCACACCCCTACTGGGGATCAAGCCTGCAACCCAGGCATATGCCCTTGACCGGAATCGAACCTGGGACCCTTCAGTCCGCAGGCCGACGCTTTATCCACTGAGCCAAACCAGTTAGGGCATGTTACTTTTTCTTAGTCATTTCTTAGTGGTTGCTCTAGGACCTACAACATACATATGAAATATGAGAATCTTTGCAGATGTGCCACAACTTATTAAGAACGGAACATAGAAACACTGCTCTTTCTATCTCTGTTTCTGTAACACTTTTATTATTATTGTTATATTACATATCTATATGTTAGAAACCAACAAGGCATTGTCATAATTATGACTTTATATCATTTTTAAAACAGAGAGAATAAAGGAAAGAAAGCAAATGCCATTTATAGAGTTTGTTATATTAACCTTATTTTCCACTTCTGATCTCTTCATTTATTCCTGTGGATTCAAAGCTACTATCTGGGTGTTACTTCTTTACTCCAATGCAGCTCCGCTCCTTGGTGCTGTTATTGTCACATAGATTACATTTCCGTGTGTTACAGGCTACACTGCATACTGTTTTATGCAAGGGCTTTTTAAGTCAATATAAAGAGGAAAATACTGGCTTTTGTAATTACCTATGTAATTACCTTTACCAGTGCTCTTTTTTTAAAGTTCAAATTTCTATCTGATATCACTTCCTTTCAGTCTGATGAACTTTCTTTAGTATTTATTTTCATTATGGAGATATAATTCACATACCATACAGTTCATCTCTTTAAAGTATAAATAATGCAATGGTTTTCAGTATATTCACAGAGCGGTGCAACCATTACTATTATCAATTTTCAGACAATGTTACAACCCCCAAAAGAAGCCCCACAGCCATTAGCAGCCACTCTTTCCCCTGCCCTCCCCCCGAGCCCTAGGTAAGCACTAACCTCCTTTCTGCCTTGATAGACTTGGCTAATCGGAATATTTCACGTAAGTGGAATCATACAGTATTTAGTCCTTTGTGGTTGCCTTTTTCCACTTTGCATAATGTTTTCAGGTTTCAACCATGTTGCAGTATGTATCAGTTCTTCCTTCCTTTTTAATGGCTGAATGATATTCCACTTCTTTTTATTGAATCTATTGGGGTGACATTGGTTAATAAAATTATATATGTTTCAGATATACACACACTTCTAAAATACGTCATCGACATTGGTTAATAAAATTATATAGGTTTCAGATATACACTTCTAAAATACGTCATCGGTATGTTGTATTGTGTGTTCACCACCCCAAGTCTCCTTCCATCACCATTTGTCCCTCCTTTACCCTCCTCTACCTCCTCCACCCACTTCCCTCCGGCATTCACCAAACTGTTGTCTGTATCCATTAGTCTTTCTTTTCTTTTCTTTGTTTAATCCCTTCACCATAATCTACCTTTAATATTTCTTATACTAAAGGACTGCTAGCAATAGATTTTCTCAATTTTTATTTATGTTATAATGTTTTTATTTCACATTCATTTTGAAAGGTAATTTGCTGAATATGAGATTCTTGGTTGACAGTTTTTTTTAATTTCACCAATTTGAATATGTTATCCCACTGCCTTCTGACCATTGTAGTTTCTGATGAGAAGTCAGCTGTTAATCTTACTGGTGTTCTTGTATATAACAGGTTAATTTTCTCTCTTTTGGCTTTTAAGATCTTTATCTTTGGCTTTCAGCATTTTGCCCACAATGTGTTTGGATGTAGAGCACTTTGTGTTTATCCCACTTGGAGTTTATAGTGTTTCTTAAATGTGTATCTTGTTTTTCATCAAATTTGGGAAGTTTTCAGCCATTAATACTTTAAATATTTTTGACCCTTTCTCTTTTTCTGGTCCTCCCATTACACATATGTTGTTGCAGTTAATGACATCTCACATTTCTCTGAGGCTCTCTTCATTTTTCTTTTTTCTGTTTTTTAGATTCCATAATCTCCATTGATTCATCAGCAAGTTAGTTTATTGATCATTTCTCCTATCTGCTCAAATCCATTGGGCCTCATTTTGGTTCTTTTTAAAAAAATGTAATTTCTGCCTCTTAATGGTAATCTTTATTTGATGAGACCTTATTTTTATACCTCCCTTTAATTATTTAAACATGGGAACTATGGGGACAGTAAGCCCCCTCTCCTTAGCACCTACCTGGGTTAGAGTACTCCGGGTAGAGTCTGTTACAGAGCTGGAGGCCCGGTGGGTGAGGGCATGGGCCATGGCTCAGATGTCACAGATTCTCATTGTTCTTGCTAAGATTTGGTCAGTTTTCTTGAGTGTGTGCCTTTAAGACAACTTCCAGTGACTTTAACTTAGTGTTTTTAATATAATTTTTATCAGTTAATTTGTTGTTATGCTGAGTTCCTTGCTGTACTTTTTAGAAGTCCTATCCACCTTCCATGTAATCTTTTATCAAAAGTTAATTTTTTGTGATAAGAATAGTTAACATGAAATTTACCCTTTTAACATGAAATTTACCCTTTTAAATAGTTAACATGAAATTTACCCTTTTAACAAACGTTTAAGTGTGCAATACAGTATTTTGACTATGTTGTACAGAACATCTCTAGAGCTTACTCATCTTGCTTACTTAAAAATTCAATGCCCATTGATTAATAACTACTCACTTCCCACTCCCTCAGGCCCTGGAAACCAACCTTGCACTCTTTGATTATGTGGATTTGACTATTTTAGGTACTTCATATAAGTGGACTCATATAGCATTTATCTTTCTGTGACTGGTTTAGTCACTTAGTCTAATGTCCTCAAGGTTCATCTGTGTTGTTGCATATTACAGAATTTCTTTGTTAAGGCTAAATAGTATTCTGTTGCATGTCTATACCACACTTTCTTTTATCCACTCACCCAGCAATGGCCATTTGATTGTTTACACCTTTTGGCTAGTATGGATAGTGTTGCAATGAACATGGGCGTGCAGGTATCTCTTGAGATCCTGATTTCTTGCTGTTGTCTATATCTTTACTTCTGGATAAATACCCAGGAACGAGATTGCTGGATCCTATGGTAACTCTATCCTTAATTTTCTGAAGAACCTTTCTACTCTGCAGGCTTCAAGAGCCTGCTTTCAGCCACTCTGGGGAGGTAGACAGAGGGGCTCCGTGGAACGCTTCTCGTCTGTCTTCTTGAGACTTTTTGTTGTGTGTTTTCTAGATCAAGTGGATGTTTCTTTCGGCATCTGTGTGGTAAAGGATGACACCAAAATCAGCATAGAACCGTGAGTTGGGGCCGGCTCAGAGCCTGAGGGGCCTTCCGAAGCGGAGCTGCTTTCACCCTCCTTGCATTCATTCCAGTGTCAGTTTTTCCCACGGGCTCCTGCATCCCAGGGGGGATCAGGTCTAGCTCCAGAGCCTCCCCAGGAGACGAGGCGTGGGTTTCTCCGGGTACTTGTGGGACGTTCCCTCAATATTCCTTTGTCCAAACATACCATAGTTGGGGCCATCGGGAAAGAATGCCCAAGACCCTGGGGTTCTAGGTAGAATTGGTGATGGCACAGTGGTTACATGGATGTGGCCATGGATGTTGATGTCAGGTATCAGCATGTACGTCCCTGGTCCTAGACCCCAAGAGAGACACCTGAGGCCAGAAACCTGGCAATGAAAGAAATGGGAGGAAGGAAGGAAATATCCCTTGAGAGGTTTCTGAAAGGCCCGCACGTGGGTCAGGGTGACCACCGCGCAGCACGGCGGCGATGGTGGAGGGTTTCCACAGAGCAGGGCACACCTTGCACCTTCAGTTCCCATCTTAGTCACGTGCACCTCGCATGTCTGTGTATGTGACCTCATTGCAGACACATCAACATAGGAAGCCGCTTTCAGGCTGAGATCCCGGAGCTCCAGGACAGATTGCTGGCCGGAATCGATGAGCATTTAGCTTCTCTGGTCTGGAAGCCGTGGGGAGATGTGATGACCAACCTGGAAACGCAGGATAGAGGTGGCTGGGACTTTGGGGCCAATTTCCCAAGGCCTCCCCCCATCTCCAAGGCATTGCTCCTCCCAGTTCTCACCTTGATTTTTTTTTAGAACTAGCCCTCAGTCCAGTATTGCTTCTCCCAGGCTGCAGTCTCCTGCCCCCACCTCTGTTCTCACTCAGTAGCTGGCCAGGCTGTTCAGGCGCCCGGAGCAGGGTTTCCGCCCTTCCTCCTTGGCCCTCCCTTCCCTCAACCTGCTTTGAGCTGAAATGTGAGGCCCCCCTGTCTGTGCTGTCAGGGAGCCTCCTCCCTGGCCCTTGCTGACTCCCTGTGTCTCCCCCTTGCACCCGGCTGGGGCCACCTTTGGAAACAGTGACCGAGCTCTGCAACGTGGCCTGCTCCAGCGTAATGCCGGGAGGGGGCACCAACCTGGAGCTCGCCCTGCACTGCCTGCACGAAGCCCAGGGCAACGTTCAGGTGAGGGAGGCTGGGGCTGCGTGAGTCTGCCACGTGCCTTCTGCGTGGGGGTTGCAGCCATGAAAACGGAAGGGAAGGCTGCTCATCTGCCCCCATGCGGCCCTGGGATTGGCGTGGCCCTTGAACACCAAGGGGAATGAGCAGACGCGGGCTCCGTAAATCAGTTATTTATTTAGGGAAACAGCAGGGCCCCAGGGTTCCTCTGAGCCCTCAGGGGCAATGAGGAGGGGAGCCTAGTAGACACAATGCAGGTCCTGCATGGATCTGGTTTATTTATTGAGCTGTATCATATTTTTTATCGCAAGCCCATGCGTGAAATCCTCTGGTGTAACTGAAATGCCTCTGCTGTCTCCAAAGGCCCTCCTCACAATCCTGAGGTTTAGAAAATAAATCAAAAGTCCAACTTGCCCTAGTTGGTTTGGCTCAGTGGATAGAGCGTCGACCTGCCACATTAGCATGCTGGAGCCAAAAGTAGGAAGAGCCTGGGTCCCTCGTGACCTTGAAGTGACACTTTGAGCACGAGAGAGAAATGAATATGTACTACTTCAGCCATTTTGAATTTTCTCTCCCTCTCACCCTGGCCTTACCCTAAGTGAGGCACATCTCACAGCTGATAAGAGATATTGCTGGGATTTCATCCTACACAATTTCATATCTTCTCCCTACCCTCAGTGTCTAATCACTTGACATGCACATCATATTTTATGCTTAGTTTGGCAGCATGAATAAACTCTCTATTGAAAAGGGGAAGAAAACCTATATATTTTATGTATTAAAATAGCCTTTCATAGGGTTCCTTGTAGATCCAGCAGATAGAATATTGGCACTCCCCTAAATAATTAAAAAATGTGGTAAAGATATTTCTTGAATATTGGAAATGCTTTTCAATATCCTTATTTTATTTATTGGTGTTCTTGCACTCAACTCTCATTTGCAATTCATACACTTGAAGTTGCCATTATCACTTGTGCATTCATTTGGCAAATATTTATTAAACACCGATGATATACTAGGAACCAATTAGTTGCTGAGGACAGAGAGGTGAACAAAATAGACAATATGTCTAATATCGTGGTGTCTGTATCCTTGTGGGTATGTGGAGGGGAGATATGGAGATAGGACAAATAATAAACAAACAAATGAGTTATGTAGTGATATGTTTAGTGAAGAAAATTCAAGTGCAGTGGGGGAACCCATGTTGCCAAGATTGGGGTTGTTACCTGAAAACACGTAAGAGAGCCCATCAAGAAAATTTTGTTTCCTAGCTAGGGCTGTCAGCATGTTTTTAGTTTGGAACAAACACATATTTTGGTGACAAAGATTGATACATTTCAGAAAAGGTTCCACATTATTCTTGACAATTTCAAAACTCTCTGTGGACTTGCCTGAGCATCTGGTATCCAACAATCCCAACTGGACAATAACTGGTTTGCTTTTTTTATTCTTTCCTTTCTACTGTGAATGTGATGTTATTCCATGAGGAGTCCAATTGCTTCTTTCCTCAAATAGGACTGTACCTGGTTAAACCAACTTGGAGAAGAGAATGTGACTAAGGGAGTACTAACTGAGTGTGCATGGGAGTGTGGGTGTGCCCCCAGATGTGCAAGTATATCTAAGATGAGAGCTGCAACAGACAGGATAATCTTGATATTTATTTGGTCAAAAGGTTGATATTCCTAACTACCTAACCCTCATTCCTCTTAGTCCCCTTAAAATGTGAACTTGCTCCCAATGTTATGTGGTCTGAAAATGAAGTGGAGATTAAAAGGGAACAAGAGGCTGTAGCTGGTTTGGCTTAGTGCAGCGGTTCTCAACCTGTGGGTCGCGACCCCTTTGGCGGTTGACTGACCCTTTCACAGGGGTTGCCTAAGACCATCCTGTATATCAGATGTTTACATTACAATTCATAACCGTAGCAACATTACAGTTATGAAGTAGCAACGAAAATAATTTTATGGTTGGGTCACAACATGAGAAACTGTATTTAAAGGGCCAGAAGGTTGAGAACCACTGTTCTAGGTGGACCCTACCTACCCCTGACCAGTGGTTCCCTCCTAAGCTCCGCCCAGCCAGGAAGTGGATGCTTCTGGCCACGGAGAGGTGGAGGCTCAGGTCAGGTTGAGCATACCAGCCCTGAAGTCAGTCAGTCTGGGGTCGCCACCTACCCTTGGCAAGTCTCTTACCCAATGGAAGGCTCAGTTGCTGCATCTGTAAAATGGGGATAGCAGTGGTTCCTACCTGCTAAGGGTTTTGTGAGGATTGTATGAGGTAAAGCAGATAGGGGGCTTAGCAGAATGCGTGGCACATAATTGGTGCTCGGTGATGGGAATTTGAAAAGGAGGGTGGTCAGCATTTCAGCCATGGCTGTGTTCCCAGAGGAGAAAAGTCTTTCCCCTCCTTGACTGTCTCTCCGGTAGGTTCAGACATCTGGACTCCCATGGAGAAGAGGCTCTTTAAGAAGGCGTTCTGCGCCCACAAGAAGGACTTTTACCTGATACACAAGACGGTAAGGCACATGGTGGGCTGTGTAGACAAGGCCTCGCCTCACACAGCCGAGCCAGAGCTGAAGGAGACCAGTCAGGGGTGACTCTCTGCTCATTTGTAAACAGTTTGTAATTTAAAAAGCCATTGTTGCCCAGCCAGCGTGGCTCAGTAGTTGAACATTGACCTATGAACCAGGAGGTCACGGCACATGCCCGGGTTGTGGGCTCCAACCCCAGTGTGGGGCATGCAGGAGGCAAAGTGATCAATGATTCTCTCTCATCATTGATGTTTCTCTCTCTCTCTCTCCCCCTCTCGCTTACTCTCTGAAATCAGTAAAAATATATTTTATAAAAAAAGAACTAGCCTTTGGTTTTGTTGGTTGTTTTCTAGTTAGTTGATTTCTGCTCTATTATTATTTCCTTTCTTCTGCTTGCATTGGGTTTAATTTGCTCTTTTTTTGTTTCTAAAAGTGGAAACTGAGGTCCCTGATTTGAGACTGTCCTTCTTCCCTATTATAGGTGTTTAGTGCTGTAAGTTTCCTTCCAAGTACTGCTTTGATAAATTTTGCTATGGTGGGTTTTTATTTATATTCAGATCAAAATACTTTTTAATTTCTCTTTTGATTTCTTTTTTGACCTGTGAGTTATATAGAAAAGTACATGATTTAGTATTCAAGTATTTCAGGGTTTTCCAGTGTTTTCTGTTACTGATTTCCTATGTGATGTAATTGAGGTCAGAGAAATACTTAATATGGTTTGAATCCTTTAAATGTATTAAACATTGGTTATGGCCTAGAACATAGTCTGCATCTGGGTAAATGTTCTGAGTACCTTTATAGAAAGTGTATTTTGCTGTTGCTGTGTGGAGTTCTATAAATGTCAGTTCAAGATGGTTAATATTGTGGTTCAGGTCTTCCATTCATTTCCTGTCCACTTGTTCTAGCAACTACTCAAAATGGAATGTCAAAATATTTGGCCCAGGCCTGGTGGCTCAGTTGGTTGGAGCGTTGTCCCATACACCAAAAAGGTTGCGGGTTCAATCCCCAGTCGGGGCGTATACAGGAGGCAATTGAGCAATGTTCGCTCACATCGATGTTTCTCTCTCTCTCTCTCTCTCTCTCTCTCTCTCTCTCTCTCTCTCCTCCCTTTCTCTCTCTCTAAAATCAATAAAAAGCAATACCCTTGGGTGAGGATTAAAAACATTATTGTTAATGGGAACACTTCTTAGTGGAGGGAGGAGCAAATGGTGGGGTCTGAAGGCCCCAGGATCAAACTGTGCCCTCCAAGCCTCCTCCTCCCCTTGTGGGCCCCTGGTTCTTGCAGAGGCTGTGATAGGCACTGCATGAGGGCATTCGCTCTAGTCCCTGGTGGGAAGCGGGGCCCTTCGGCATGACGTCACAGTGAGCGTCCTGCGGTGAACCTTCGTGCGCCTCTTCCCACAGAGAAGGGCTCTGGGCGGCCTTGCTGCTCAGGTGGTCTTGGCTGTGGTCACTTCACTCTGAAGCCCTTCATCACCTGGACGACTGTCGTGTAGTGAATGGGCAGGCCAAGCCAGAGAGGGAGCGAGTCCGCGTGGTGGCTGGGGGCTGCCCATCGCCAGTTTCTGTTTTCTTTCCCTAGATCCAGACCAAGACCGTCGCCCAGTGTGTGGAGTATTATTACATCTGGAAAAAAATGATCAAGTTTGACTGCGGCCGAGCCCCAGGGCTGGAAAAGAGGCTCAGGAGAGAGCCGGAGGAAGCAGACAGGACAGAGGCAAAGGTAGAGGGCCCGGGCGTCTGGAGTTCAGTGCTGATCTGGGTGCCCGCTGCCCGTCCATGCTGCCCGTCCATGTGTCTGTGCCCTGTGTCCCTGCGCCTCCCTCCTAAGGGCTGAGGGTCAGCCCCGCCCGTGGTTTCTGCCCCCTCTGCAGGTCACGTGCAGCCCTCGAGAGAGACCTAGCCACCGTCCAACCCCCGAGTTAAAGATAAAGACCAAGAGCTACAGGAGGGAGTCCATCCTCAACTCCAGCCCCAACACCGGCCCCAAGCGGACCCCAGAGCGGCCGGGCAGCGCGGAGGGCCCGAGCGTGTTTCCCTGCAGAGAGTGTGAGAGGTACCGGCC